GCGGGTTTAGGTGTATTTAAAAGATGGTTATACTGAACATATTTCAGGCTCAGTTAATAAGAGACGTGAATTATAAACATAGAAACAATGTTTGTGGTAAACAAGGCATGGCTGCATTTCATTATTTCAAGAGGTACTTAAGAAAATCCACTACTAATGACCTTGACTTCACACCAACAAATAACTAGCCTGCATTAGTTAAGAACAAAACAGCATGCTCAGATAAGGGATAAAGAGTAAAACTGTAGATACTGGCTAGTTTCACTGTGGGCTCGTATTTGACAACAGTGAAGAGATCATATGAGGAAGGTCCTGTTCTCAGACCACCCTCCACACTGTGCTGGCACAGCTGTTTGTGTAGCTCCACGCATGTTGTAACGCCACATGATAGTTCAGCTCCATCATTCCAGCTGTCAAACACCCAGGTGTTCAGGCACAACGCAGTGGGAGACCCAAAGGTGTTGACAGTATCCTAGGGCCACTTCAACTCCCTCTGCTTTCAAACAAGAAGTAGCCACATAACCTGTATCAGAACAGAAATCAACAGTTCTTTTCCTTCTATGAAAAGTAACCAGTTTCACTGCTTTGAATGTGGTCACCCAGACTGACTCATCATTAGCCAAGTATCTTGCAAAGAAATCTTACTGCAGCATTTTAAAAGATTAAGCAGGAAAGTTTAGGACAAAATGCTCCCACTTCAATAGCAGAAAACCCCTTAAGTTTCCTCAAATTAAGTTTTTATTTCTACTTTCTTTTGGAAGGTCCAAAAGTTGGTTACCTCTCATGCATATTATTACATAACATTGTAAAATAATAACATTAATAAAATATTAATCAAGCTCATAGTATCAGCATTATTACTACAAAATACTGCTCTTAGGGGAGATAGGGTACAATATTTCGTTTGTTAATATAGTTAGTTTCCTTTACATGTCTTTAAAAAATGCAAGAAAACAAAAAACCCAGGAACTGCACTGTAGCACTGAATGAAAGCAGGAATATTTTCACATCCACAGCCATACTCCGAGCAGCAAGTGCCGTTCAACAACAGCACTGCTCTCCCTAACCCCAAACACTTGAGGACATTTCAACAACATGACTGCTGAGCAGCAATGTCAGAACATTTCTGTAGGATTTGAGAACATATTCTATAGTGAGACGTTCCCTGAAATTCTTGTTACGCTTTATACTCCTAACAAGGAGTTTCAAAACTGCCCAAGACATGACAGAATAGAAGCATATTAATACTGTAAGATTTAGTAAACTTTTAGCTTAATAAAAATATAACATTATTTCTACTTATACTTCTTAATACATATTTCATTTTTAGTTCAGGTAATGCATGAGTGGTTTTTTAATCCTATGAAAATATCTGGTACATGAACAAAAACAGACGGGCTTTTTGCATACCATTAGTTTCTGCAAATTTCTGAATATCAGCCAGAGTTTTCAGTTCTTTTCTTGGGCAAGCTGACACACACAAAGCAAGAGACTTGATCCTCTGATGTACTAGATCAATGTTGCATGGGTCCAAGAAGAATACATACCTAGGGAAGGAAAAAAGGTATATTAGTTCTATTTTAATTAACAATTACACTGAACAAAATCAATTTCATTTCAAACTAAAGGATTCAGCCAAGACTAACTTTCAGTCCACTCAAAAACACAGGAAATTTGGTATTACCTGATTTGTGCTGGTCAAAAGAATTCACGTATTCAATATATGCACCACAAATATATGGATATTTATATACTTCTGGATCACACAGAAAGAATGTTTAACTCGATAAGATTCTAGTCCATTCAAATGGTGTTATTCATAAAACAGCAGCACTTCTAGAACGTCTCTTCACAGATACGAGTCTAAACATTCACAAACAAAGCTTTGCTCTAACCTTAAAATTCACTTCAATACTTCCAACTTTTTCCAAAAAAACCCAACAAACCCCATAACATTGTACCTATACCGCAAAAACGACAAAGTCTATGGTTATTCTAATGAATACATGTAATATCAGTAATTAAGAACGGGTTTTTGGTTTGGATTGGTTTTCCCCACCACTGGTCCATATGACTGAGCAGATTACTTTAGTATTTATTTTGAAATAAAAATTGTTCAGATATTTCAAGTAGAACTATATAATGTTCAAGTACAGTATTTTAAAGAGATTCCGTTTGCTGACTTTCCATGATGAGTCACTATCATCTGAAAACCCAATGAGTGAAGTACATGTTATAGCTTGCTAGCTAACATCACCTCCTGGCTATGCACATTTAATCACAAACACTAACCGTATAGTATTGTCCATTCATGGTATAATACAGATGCAGAATGCTTTTCTATTCTGAAGTTGAACAAGTCTTTCAAATTCCTACAATTCTGGTGATACACTATGCATCAAAATACTCTCTTCATATTATCTAACATCGTCATAGGAAAACACCACCAAACCGCCATATAAAACATCATTTCTATTTTTGCAGTCCTCACGATGGGAATTCATTCTGTAATCAATAAAAATCCTTTCTGCTCCTAGAAAGCATTTAGGTCCTGTCTAAATACTTTCAGTCTATATGCTAACTACTGTCTAACTTTCCCCCACAGAAAGACTGTTCTATTATCCAGTATCAGTACACAAGAAGTATTAGTACTTAGTACAGTCTTACTTCCTGGAAGTCCATCAAAACCCATGTCATCTAACTGTAATGTGGTAATAGACTACTTGCATCTTAAAGCATTCTCTTTCCTTGTCCACACCTCTATGAAAATTATCCAGTACTATTTCCGGTTTTTTACTTAACACCTACCACACATCTCAGGACTCCACAGATCACGAAAGTCTAAGAAGAAAGAGCAAGCATGAAAACTGTCCTGCAGACACAGCCAAAGTAACTGCATGTGACCAATAAGCCACTAATTCCACAGTCTTCCTTTATTTCAAAGAAAATACTCCTGAGTTGATACCAAGACATATGATACTTGTGTTAACTGGAGACTGTTAACAGCTTCCTCTTCATGAGCGCAAGCTCCTGCAGTTGCTATTCCATACTATAAGGGTACGTGGAAGGAGACAGTCTGCACCTTCGAGGGTATCTGGTCAAAGAAGCTACAAACAAGAACCTACAGAGTCAAACCTGACTGACATGTGGAAAGGGAGGCTGTGATGGGAACAAACCTGGTCAATCACACTAATTGGTAAGGATATGTGGAGTATGAAAATTCTTACCTTTGAGCAAGATTATCTGGCTAAGCACTTTGCCAAATTGTGATGATAAGGAAAAGGAGGGAGACACAAAACTTGACCAGTTAGTTTTAATAAAAACAATCACAATAATTGATGGGCTATCAAGAAACTGCAGGCAGGGACTTTGCAACTGATAAGGATGCAAACCCGAAGCTGCAAGGATGCAGGAGGGGTCAGTGGGACTGTGCCAGCTGCTGTGGCAGAAAGGGCTGTAAAAGGGGACAGTTGCATGTAAGCTGATGTCCGTCAATACCATGGTCTGACTGAGCCTGGCGCCTGATCACTGCAATCTGTCCTACCATCTTATTAAATCCTTCCTTAACTAACTGCATAGTCTCACTCTCTATCCTGTGTGCACGGATGCTGCAGGGACTAAGTGCCAGCTACTGGGGGGACCAGCGTGACGGATTTGGTGCCAGCAACTGGAGTCAGACCAGGGGTTTGGGTGCCCCAGGCCTGTGGTGTCAGCAACCAAACTGAGTGGGGTCTCAGAGCCAGCAACTGGGGCAGGAAGGGGTCTTGGCCACCAGCCACTGAGGTAGCAACCATGTGTGTCCAAAAAAAAAAAAACCGGCTACAGAGACAAAGGGCTCAGCGTAGGTGGCTGGAGCAGGACCATGGGTCACAGTCCATGTGGTGTTGGCTGTTGGCAGGGGCTGAGCATCTTCTCAGGGGCTGAGTACCTTCCCCAAAGCAGGTGTTCACATGTGTAACTCATCAGCAGACTCCAAGCTGTACCAACTGGTCAGTAGGAGGCTGTGGGTCCAGGCAGATGTGTCAGGCGGTTGGAGGGTCTGTGCCGGTGTTCGAGAGGACCTGTGAGTGTGGGGTGCCTGTGGGACAAGTGTGTGAGTGATTGCTAGTGAGCACCCAGCTGGACCAGCTGCCGAGTAGCAGGAGCCATCGGGTGGGTAAGGAGGCCTGGGATTGGGGCAGGGGTGCCAGGTGGGCAGGGGGGATGTACTGGTACTTCAGGGATCCATAAATGTACCTGTGCTTGTGAACCTGGAGAGCGTCATGTGTGCCTGCACTGGTGACCTTCTGTCTCTGCCAGCCCACAAGGAGGAGGGGATGTGGCTGGCTGTGCTTGTGTTTATGTGAGTCCCACACCGTGGGCACTGCTGAAGGCAGCGCCTTGTCAGTGCCAGTCCATGTAACCCACCAAGTCAGTGTTCCACTTATCTGTCCACTCACATCCCTGAGCCCAGACAGAGACCCTGGGTCCCAGGATGTACTGGGCTGGGCTCTAGTGGCTGGACAGGAGGCTCCTCTGAATGTCCCTTAACATGTGTTACCTAAAGAAATCAAGTCAGGAACGTCAGCATTAACAAGCTAGAATCCAGAGCATTTCTACAGTGATTTAAACTGAAGGGCCAAGCTGTAATTTTAATGGCCAGAAGAAATAAGAGTATTTTGTAAAATAAACTTGACACTTCTAACTCAAGCTGGAAATTTAGAAATACAATGCAACTATAGTGCCATATGCAGTTTTGACAGAAGTAGGCTGTGTTGGCATACCCTTAAACAGACACTTGTATTCAAACATCACATTGCATAGCTCAGAGACAGCTCTGACAGCAGTAAGGTGACTGCAAAGCAAACTCCAAGCTAGCAAATCTGTGGCTTCAATCCATGGTTTATGAAGACAGAAGTAAGATTTTTTTTTTAATTTCTAGCAGCTAAAACAAGAATCAAAATGCTAGGTACCAGCTTTACAGAGAAAAAGGTATTTTGGTTTTTGTTTATAAAGCCTACTTATTGAAAGTAAGTGATTTTACTGCAGAAAATTCCATACTGTGTCACCACACAACAGGTTTTATTTCTCACTGGAAGAACATACTTACATGCTTTGTGCTGCAATTTCAGTTATTTAGAATCAACAATAGACTAATTGGTTGATAAGAAAGTAACCTAAATCAGCAATACAAAGACTGAAGTAAGCAAAGTAATCACATTGTTAGAAATGCTTCAACACTGCAAATGAAAATTTGGTTGCTATATGAAATTCAATATATCAGATTTTCAATCTAGGAAGCTTCTTTATGAAATACCAGCCCTGCAGACAGGGACTTGGGGGTACTAGCAGATGAAAAATTGGACATGACCCGGCAATGTGTGCCTGCAGCCCAGAAAGCCAACTGAATCCTGGGCTGCATCAAAAGCAGCTTGACCAGCAGGTCGAGGGAGTTCATTCTGCCCCTCCACTCTGCTCTCATGGGACCCCGCCCCTGCAGTGCTGCCTTCAGCTCTGAGGCCCCCAACACAAAAGGGACACGGATCCGTTGGAGTGAGTCCAGAGGAGGCCCATGAAAATGATGAGAGGGCTGGAACACCTCTCTTACGAAGACAGGCTGAGAGAGTTGGGGTTGTTCAGCCTGGAGAAGAGAAGGCTCCAGGGAGACTATAGCAGCCTTCCAGTACTTAAAGGGGGCTTCTAAGAAAGACGCAGACAGGCTTTTCACAAGGGCCTGTAGTGACAGGACAACGGGTAGCAATTTTAAACCAAGAGAGGGTAGGTTTAGATCAGCTATAAGGAAGAAATTCTTTACTATGAGGGTGGTGAGGCACTGGAACAGGTTGCCCAGAGAAGCTGTGGATGCCTCATCCCTGTAATTTTTCAAGTCCAGGTTGGATGGTGCTTTGAGCAACCTGGTCTAGTGGAAGGTGTCCCTGCCCATGGCAGGGAGGTTGGAATGAGATGGTCTTCCAGCCCAAACCCATTCTATGCTTCTGTGATTCTTTGATCTTAACAATCCACTTTTCTGAAAACCAAAGTTTGTTAAAAGAAACTCAGAAGTACGTCATGATGAAAAAGTTACTTGAGTAAAAATAACTGCATGTAATTTTTAATATGCCTACCTCCTGTCGCCATAACAAAAATCAGAAATTTTAAGCTCATCTTTAATTTTAAGCTGATTCTGATACATAAAAGAAAATACGAAAAGAGCTTAACTTTTCAAAAGCCATGGTGACTGAAAATAAGGTCTAGTTGTCCGTCCTGAGGCATGCGATTCAAAATGAACTTTAGTACAACTTTTCAAAATGCATCTTTTCTTTTTTTTACAGATCTATAGGATAGCCTTCCTTATGGTTTACTACAACGTAGAGCTTATATTGCAATGTGTTTCATTTTTCACTTCTGAAAGAAAAATCCAGATTTCTAGGCAAGTAACTAAAAATATAATTTCAAAATGACCAGAGGTTAAAAAAAAAAAAAAAAAATCAACAATTTTGGCTTCTGACTTGGTAGCGTTCTAGGCAAGTGTCCTATTACCTATGCATGCTCATGAGAAACATAGCACTCTCCTCTTCCATTGCAAAAAGAGGAAGACAAAGCATCATCATCATTTTGTGTAGTACACTTTGACTCTGGAAGCATTGTGGCAAACCATATGAACAAGTCTATGTTACCTTCAAGTATTTTGTATACTCTTATATTTGCCAGTGTCACAGATTTTCTATCAGCCCTCAAGGTATCTCTTTATAGGCAAATGAGTACTTTACAGAACATCCTTTGCTGTGATCTACAAGCATCTTATAACAACAATTGAGAAGGGAATTAAGTGATCACACCCACTCTAAAAAATTATGGGTAGGGCATACACAGTTCCACTCAGCAAAATTCTCTGTATGTGTGCTGCAAACTCTCCCTCGGTTTTCCAACTACCTATACCCCAAGCATTTTCCCTGAGTCAAAGGCATTTATTAAGGTGGAATGCCACCCTAACTCTTCCCTATAGCGGCACATGCACATCTTCTCATACATGAGTGAACAGCACACACTGAGTTCTGTCCTAGCAGCAAAGTACTGGTGATCAAAAATCAGACTGAACTAGCATTTCAGGGACTTATATTTGGCTGCCATGGTCACCATTTATTTGCAAATAAAAGGTCATTTTTTAACTCCCTTATAACTGCCAGAACTTGAAAAGCAAGCAGCTTATTTGAAGCAGATAGGTTTAATGACAATTCACTGCCAGGGCTAGACTATAATACCATGTCTGACTCTAGAGCACAGCCTATTAAAGCTGTACTGTTTTCTTTGTAAAAATAAAAATATGGCTGATTCACTCTTTGTCAAGGAGACTAGGCAGTAAAATCCTCCTTCCCAACATTTCATCTCGCTGGTTTCAGCATATCTGATGCACATGGATCAAATCATACCCCTGTGGGGACTCTGCTCTTCACCCTTACCACCCAGATTTCCATATCCACACAGATCACATCCATTTCACTTCCTTATTACAGTGCCTATGGGTTGCTGTCACTTACAAGGAAGAAAATGTTATTTTTACAGATGATTTTGCTTTTCTGCCTTGGACTGGGAAATGAAGAGAGAATTACCCTGCAAGCAGACTGAAATGAGAATAACTTCATGTTTCCAGAACCACATTTGTAGAGTTTAAAGCCCTTTCTTTCTCTACACAAACTGAAATGTACAGGCAGGAAGAAGAGTTCATTTTTACACTCTGTCTGAAAAGTACTCCTATAAAATTGCATGAAATAGTCCCATGAACTGCACCTCAGACACTGCAAGAACTCCATCTGCTAGAGACAGATGCAAAGCAGATAGTTTCTTCTGAAAAATATCCAAGCAAATTTAAAAAGCTACAGGGTATAAGAATGGGAAGGATCACTCGCTTATGTAAGAACTGGCCTCTTCCAAAGCTGGCTATGCTGGACTGTACCAGGCACTTCACTGTGAACAGTCATAGAATAATCTGCCTTAGTAAAAGGTTTGAGTGTATCTATTCATTTGCTTAGGTTATGATACCTTTATTAGAAAAATAAAATCCTTTTGAACCTTAAGACTTCAACAAGCAATGGTCTCTGTCTCTTAACTGTGTTAAAAATAGTCTCTATTTTAATGTCTGTCTTTCGATCTTGCCTTTACAAGAGGAAATCACTTAACAGTAATGGATGTTTCTCCTAAAGACGGTCTGATTTCTGTCACATGTCAGAGACTATTACACTATTAATTGTTACATTTCTATAAGGTGTCAGTTTCTTTGCCTTCACACAAACTCAGACACCATTTCTTTCTAAATGTAAGTTTAAAATTATAATTTTAAAATTCATATTTTTCTCTCACATCATAAGACTGATAATTTTGTGCTGAATACACTTGATTTTAGAAAGTGCTAAAATATTTATATTAAAACGTAGGAAAATTATGCCACATAAGTTTTAAGCCCTTCAACCCTCCTGGAAGCTGTGATTAGATCATGAAATTATTCTTTTCATACAAGAAATCTGTAAAAAGTTTCAAGCTATTTTATTTAACTCAAATTCTTCTAGTAACATATCAATTACCTAGCCACATTAAGTCTTAAATCAGATATTTAGAAATCTTTAGTATGGAAACTCCAAATAAGCAGATCTTAGGAAAGCATCCTTCCAAAATAATTAATGCAAATTATGGATCTTCTGTTAGTCTGAAAGTAAAGTGTGAAGTAAAAGGCTGTAATACTCAGATATTAAAGACTTCTCAGCTTTTTGAAGTAATCAACAGTGAACATCTTTTTTTGTCAATTAATACCACAGTTCTATAGTTAGACTAAATAGTTCACTTTATCAAGTCACCCAAGTTGCACAATGTACTCTGAGCACTGACTGGCAGACAGACCTCAACGGACATTCACAGGTTTTCAACCTGTCAGTCCAGAACTTTAGTTATTCAGCTCCAATACTACTGCTGCATTATGATGTTTTTCTGCACAATAGACAGGAAACACCTGTGCTGGTTCTGACCTCTAAGTACGTGTTTTAACGTGATACTGCTTAATAAGAGCTGTGCGTTGCTTAAAAGTTTTGTGCATTTTCTCTACAAGCCACATATATATTCTGCTTACAGTTTAAATTTTAAAGTCTCATTTTAATGTGTCGGATATATCCCATCTCCCCCTAAACTCAGTAGCAGAAACTGAGTGTATAACATCAAAAAGAGAACCATTTCTACACAGATATCAAAGGCCTTCTCCCAAATCTGAGAATACCTGTCATACCTAAAACTTGTAACAAACAAGATTCTTCAGTGGCCTGATACAATCTTCTACATGAAGTGCACACTAAGAAAGGGAAATTCTTCAATGTTTTAGCTGTACTCATATTGCTCATCTGTCAACATCACTCTGAGTACTGTTGTTGGTTGGTACAGAAGATGTTCTCTAGGTGAGTAGAGTAGAGAAGGACAAGTAGGAATGAGTTAGTATATCCCTTTTCCCATTTTATTGAAAACTGCTCTCCAAGGAAGAAAGGTTTTGCCTTTCTTAGTTTACAGAATGAAGCAATTGAATCACATACTCACTTCTTGTGTGTAAGGTCCAGACCACTGTTGAGTATTCCCTCCACCTTGACATTTTTCTGTCCACAAATATTTCCATAACTGTCATATCCCGAAAGCAGTCTTGCAGCTGCTCCTGTAGCTATTGAAAAGCCACAGATAAAACCCTGGAGGAGAAAAAAAATCCAGTTTAGTAATACTCCGTTTGACAGCTGGGAGAAGTCAGTTTAATTCATTTGTTTCTAAGCAGAGGTTCTTTAAAAATTCGTTCAGACTGAAAAAGGAAAGACAATGACCATCCGCAGAGAACTGCTGTACAATCATAAAATTGAATGCAAGCCAAAAGAGAATTCAGACATCTAACACTGCATATTATCCAAGCATAGTTAAGAATCTTGTAGGTGTTTTTTTGAGAGTTGTATTGTCAGTAAGTGGTGTGTCCAGCAGAAGGAAGGCCAAGGGCAGGCAGTGAAGGCGAGCTACAAGCAGAGCTGATGTTGTCAAGGGTTAGTATACATCTTGGAGGATTCCAGACAGTCCAGATTTTCTTGTTTTAAGATTTTTTTTCTTCCTTTAAATTATGTGCTTTCAAAGACGAGCTAGGATGAAGAGGTCTATCTGACGTAAGCTCCTTTTAAGGAAATCCTCTAAAGCAAGTGAACAGGTCAAGGCCACTATGGTTCCAGATGCTGGGTTCAAATACAGGAAAGAAAGAGACAGAGCAAGAGAATCCAAAATGACTCAGACAGAGTAATGTGGAAAATACTCAATATCAGGCAAGTCTTGCTGTGAACTTGCCAAGATATTTCACTAGCAAAACCAAGATCAAAGCAGTGACTGTGTGAACAGAAGACTGGTGCAAAAGAACTATTAGCTTCCTAGCAACACCACTGGCAGGGAGAAGTGAACCATCGGCTCACTCCACTACCATCAATGAACTGTTTTTACAGACAAGGTAAGATAAGATTTGAGAAGCGGAAGCAGAGTAAACGGCTGGGACAAACGTGTGGAGCAACTGATGGCAGTGACAGGATCAGATGAGATGATGACAACAGGTAACGAAGTCGGTATGGAAGAGTTAAAACGTGGGTGGCTTTAAAGGGTTGAAGATACAGGACAGTGACCTTCTGTGATGGACAGGTTATCACTATAAAGAAATTCCAGACAGCAAGCTGGTCATTATCTTTCTCTTGCCAATGCACTAATGCACTTATAGACTTAATACTCAAAGTGAAAACATGGGCAAAGTGAGCAAAAGGCTATCAAAAGTAATAACTGAAGCTGATTTCCATCACTAACTTTCAATTTCTCGGATCCCTTACTATTCTGTAAAGGACATACTAGCATGTATTTTACATGCAATAGTTCTTAAGTTCTTGGCTGGTTCAAGAATTTTTTCCCTATACATAGGGTAAGGGAAATCATGCAATTCTCCCCCCATCTAAGCTAATTTACAATAGTGCGGGGTACCTGATTTACAACAGCATAGTACCCGACCGTTCAGGTAAAGTCCCCTAGAACAGTAACTAACAGAGCAATTACTGAATTGGGTCAAATGCTCTGTATATCATATTGCTTAGATGGGAAAATCTTGGACATTCACCCACAGCAGACTAATTTATAATTGGGGGAATAGGTAGGTATAGACTGAGTAACCAGGGAATACCAATAAAGGCAGGAAAAAAACAACCACAAAAGAGAGATATTTGTTTCAGGAAGTACTGTGCTTTTTACGATTTTATGATATTCACATTATAGTGAAAATATAATTTGTGTGATTTAAACAAAATGTTATCATGTTTGCATTTGAAGCACAGCCAAGACAAACACTTTAGGGAAAAAAGGGAAAGAAAAAGAAATTGTTCAGTGGAATGATTCCAAAGACCAGAGATCAAGTGACAGTAGAAAAGAAAGCTGACAGCACAGAAGTCCCAAACTCCTAAGGGTTACTGCTTGCAACACAGCCATACAAGACAGTGACAGACATTCTCTGTTTAGGAAGAACAGCATACATAGGTCTATCAAACAAAACAAGATGAAAAGAAGTGTGTTTCTAGTTTTCACTAATCTGCAGCTCTTGGAGGTTTGTTTTTTTCATATGAAGTGCACAGTGTTGTGAGGCTGTCTTGAGAAAGGTGGTGGTTTCATTACACAGGACAAAGCTGGGATAACTCAGAAAGAAAGATCTTACCATTAGTAACATGGTTGTTAATAGTAGGTGCTTCTACTAAGCATCCAAGAAAAAAAACAAACAAACAAACAAACAATTGTTTGACTATCAGAATCTTTGTTTCTCAGCAAAAAGTTTACCGTGATTCGCAGAACCATTTACCAGACTCAAAGCTATCACTTCTGGGACACCCACAGTCCCATAAGGACCCCACAGACCATAAGTCAAATGATACCTCACCATGCTGAAAATCACTTAGAAATGAAACTAGAGTTTCAGTGGAAGAGGAGCTGGAGCAAGAACTGGCACAAACAATAAGTTATGGATCCCTACCTTTGATATGTACATACTATGCATTTCTGTTCTACAGCTGATGGTTCCCACGCCAGTACACCCTGACCTTACCCAGTGACTAAGTTACTGAAAGGTTTTAAAACTCTTTCTAATGAATGCAAACTCTTCAACTATGTAACATTCACAGAATCCTTTGAGTTTTACTCACCATTCCTACACAGAAGAGGATGAATAAGAGCAGCCATGGTACATCTGTGCAGCTGTGGTCCTCCAGAGGCTTCCACTCTCGTTTGGAGCTCTTGTGTGAAAAGAGAGAGATAAGGTTAACAACGCTTTTTTGATTGTCTTCTGCTCGTAACAGAAAAAGGCAGAAAACGATTCTTCAGGGCACTAACATACAAGAGGAGTTCTCTTTAAACTCTGTTATAGCTGAAGCAGCTTCATCAGAAAACTTAAACAGTTAAGGCTCATGAAAGACACTTCAAAAAAACTGCCTCCACTGGAAGCTAGATCAACAACTAATTATTTATCCAGAAAACAGGGAGTTTACCCAGGAATTTACAGCTATTTATCCACAAAACAGGTTATTTTCACTTATTTTTTTATTAACAGAGAAGAAAAACTAATGGCATAGAATCAACAATATCTGCTGTTGCAGTATTCCACAGCTACCTTCCAGTAATCTGCTCTCCAAGAAGAATAAAAGGTTAAACTTTTCAAAAGCTCCTAAGTTTTAAAACACTACTGTCAAGTTTAACAAGTATAGTGAACATAGAAAGGAGGTAATAAATTGCTGTTAAAGGAACAGTTCTCTACCTGCCAAGAGGCAGCTGAGCTTAACATTTCAGCAAAGAAATCCCTAGTCAGTATTCCTCAGGTGCCAGAAAGGAAAGTTGTGCACTTAAAGGTTGAAATACTCAATAATGGAGGTTCTATTGCAAAGTATAAACAGGCAGTTGTAAGCAATTCACATAGTTTGCTGCTCATGAGGTAAAATTTCTCAAGTGTGTATACACTGCTAAGATAATTAAATTCTGCTTAAAACAGTCATTTTGCCATCTAGGCAAAACGTTTTTAAGAAAAGAATGATTTTAAGAAAACAATGAGTATTGGCTGTAGCACAAAACTAACCACCATATCAGAATTTGTTTATTGTAACAAAAACATTGATTATAGCTACTTTTAAAAATACACAGTTACACAGACAAGCTGTTTCAATTACTTCTCAAATACTAACTGTTCACACATGTCTACTAAGACCCAAAAAATGCACACATTGTTTTCATACTTGAGGAAGAAAAGGAGATTGATACAGGGAGAATACAGAACAGTTCTCTTCAGAGACAGAGCAAAAGGGGTAACCTATTCAAATTTTGAATTTCTTTTTCCTCTCAAGACTCAGAAGCATCTTCAAGACTTTGTTGACAAGGTAGCAAATGTCAGTACTGAATTAAAACAGAATGTTTGGACGAAATGTCCACAGCTTTTATCTCCAGTATGTATTTTTGCAGATTTTTATCCAAAAAAAGCTATAGCATGTAACTCTTGCGATACTAGCAGGTAATTTTTTGGTATTCATTACTTTGTCTTTTGATAATTCACAAGCACAAAGCAACTTTTTCAAATACTACCATTAGAAAACTACAAACTGGGTACAATATAAATTAAATTCTGCATGCACCATGCTTCAAAAAGCACAGTTTTCTAAGTATTTCAAAGTCTGGCTTTGCATTAGGGAATTCCATGCTACTTTTGCAATCTTGTCTTAAGGAAGTTCCACGTGCAGATGTTATATTTATATTTTTAATTCAAACTCTGCAAATTCACTCTGAGCTCTGAACAGCCAAACTTCTTTTTATTTTACTCCACAATCAGTGGCGAGGTGCTAAAAGGTCACATTATGCACTCTACTACACTCATTCAACAAAAACTTTCTTCTGACCCTCACACTCAAAACTAACACACTATTCAAACTTAACATTTACAAGAAGATTGTGACATTTACATTGTTACAATTAGCATAACCATAACTGCATAAAATATGTAAAGGTTCACACTTCCTATTCCAAAATCTACTCCAAGAATTCTGGATTCTTTAGAGATTTACTTTTATTTACAAACAGCAGAGATAAATTTCAGCTATAGCTGCACCTTCAGAGTAAGGTGTCCTTGACAAAAGAGGGAGCAGTAAGAGGCACTGCATAGTGTGGTTGGTTTGTTTTGTTCTCTTTTTTTAATCCTCTCTGTACCATCTGCAAACAAAAATCTTTTAATAGGATTTTCAAAAGCCATTGGGCATCCTCTGGAATAGCTGTGGCAAAGATTTGGGTTGTCTGATAGTCACAGTTACTGTAAGTGATACATTTTGTTTACTAAGTGGACTGCAATTTATATGTCAAAAAGAAACTTGAAATGCCATGGTGTAGCACATAGTTAGGTTACACAGAGGAATTAATTCTGTGTCCATAGTCTTTACTCTGCTCCAAAACATACTTTAAAAAAAAAATAAATAAAAAAAATTTAAACAAAAAGTACCCGTGGAAGCAACTCAAAAAGTATTAGATACTTATCAACCTTCAATTTAACCACCCAGCATACTAACGTAGTATGAAATTATAGATCTTTAGAACAACACCCTCCTCCAGTAGCCTGTCCAATCTTTCTTCTCTACAGACCTTGCTGCAACCCAAGCTGGCTGCCATTATCTACCTGCTGTTTTCTTCTCAGTTGCTTCCTTGTTTTCTGGATTCTCACTGAATATTCTTCCATAGCTTCACAGCCCTTCATCCTCATCTTTGATGTCGGCGTCTGTATCTCTCCAGTGACTGCTTCCTGTCCACTCTACACCCTTAAGACGTTTACTCAGATAGTGATATTCATACTTGGGCAACACAAATTGCTATTCTATGGTCAACATAAGGTCTAACAAGTGTTGTTTGCTTTGCAGTCTGGAAACTATGCTTTGTCTCTGTTGTAACTGAAATACCATAAAATTTTAGCAGACATGCTTTGCCTGCAATCCTAAATCAGCACTTCTACTCACTTCAGCTTTTCCTCCAGGGAGATTAAGAGCCTTCAGTATTTGCTGATGCAAGAAAGCTAGACAACCTAGAGGAAAAAGACAATTTTTGGAAATTATTTGATTCATTTTGAGTTTTCTCTTAAAACAGATCTTTCATAATTTATGCTATGTGCTCTATGGATATTATTGCCATTAACAAAGCACTGTTTTGACAGCACAGAGAATCAGGAGCACTATCAGTCAAGTCTGGAAAGCAGGCAAAAGCGTCTGTCTCTCCAAGACAAACTTGCAGGTTGTGAACACTTTTCCTGCCCATAACAGCTCTTCTGCATTGATTTTAAGAGTTATTACTCAAGAACCCAAATGAGCATGTTCAGAAGTTTACATCTGTATATTCCACAGAAGACTTGGTAAAGTCAATGTTTCTCAAAAACAAATCAGAACCATTGGGTGCAGCACAACTTTACAATTACATCTTAATTCCACACCTAGAAAGTTGGATGACTAAAGTTAGGCTTTCTCTTGCAGAACAGAAGTGTGAAGAACACCAGCACATTAGCTGTTGGTTTTCTAGTTGAATTCAGAGCTATATGGTCTAAAGACAGCAAGCAGTTGTACGCAAACGCAAAATAAAAAGCGGCTATTTTCATCGTATTCATTGCACCCAGTCACTTCAAAACAAACATAGAAATTCCCTCCTCCAGATCTCTTTCTGCTACTTCTGAAATACACCTTTGCCGCACCGAACAGCAGGTTTGAATTTATGTGTCTTCTGCATACTGTAATATACTTCTTCACACGTATCAGCATAGCACAAAACCAATGGTTACCACCTTCACTGTTAGCTGTAACAGCTGTACTGGATGCTACCATACAAGCACTCACCTGCCCCAACCAGAGTGTAACACACACATAAGAGCACAAAAAAGTGTAAAAATATGGCATGTCAGTAGGAGACTACAGATGCAAGGAGTGACAGAGAAATTTTTTTTAAACACAAAATGACTCATGCAATGTAAAAATTCGGAGTGATGTGACTGAAGCAAGAAGACAAGTAAAGAACATCTGCAGTACCATGTATATGGATAATCAAGTTGTTGGTAAGTAGCAAAAAATGTGAGTAAGATCAGGATAAAGATGGAATTTGCCATCAAAAGAGGATGTTGCAACATCATCAGAAAGGCATCAGAAAGAAATCCTAAAATCTTGTGGTGACCAGATTGTACGTTTCAGGAAGAAGAAAATGAAGCTGCTACTGAGACAGGTGGGCTGAATTAAGGACAACGCAGTGAATAGCCTGAGTCACATCCACTGGATGAAAAGGAGATACACAGAGAGGTTAGACTCTAGGCATTACTTCGGCTAGTGAGTTTAAGCTAGCAACTGGAGAGTACAGGACTATTCCAATTTGCATAAGAACACACAGGTTGTAATACCATCATAGTTTCATTCAGGTAGTTAAGGACAAAAAATAAAAACAAACCAGAACAATCAAATACAACCCTCACATTTTTCAGCCCAAAACAAATCTCGGAAGAGACTCAGGATGAAGGATGTCCCATCAAAATCCTACAGGAAGATTCACTAGTCATGAGAAAGAGCAGTCTTGCAAATTGCTAATCTAATGCTAAGACTACTATACATAGTGTTAAGACAGCCAAGAGAAGACAAAATTTTAAAGTAATGTCCACAGTCAGCAAAGCCAAACTGAGTCAAACTTCATGAGATACCAGTCACACGAGCTATGCTGTTCTGGCTCAAGACAATGCTTCCAAGTGCAAGTGCTCCTGGAAGCTCCACGTCCAGCATAACCTGTTCATTAACCCTCCTCGTGAGTAATGCTACATAAAACCGTACATGTAGATGAAATACAGTGATCCAATATTCTTCTGCTTCAGCATTTGGTTTAAATCAGTTCCACTTCAAGTCAAAAATAACAGAAAATACGACAGAAAAGTTTAAAAATTATTTCAACAGAGAAGTGCACAAATAATTTTGACATTCCTTCTTAAAAAGCAATAAATTCTTTTGGTTTAGTTTCCTTTTTTCTTTCAACCTGCTTCTAACACAAGATGAAGATGCTGCAAAACATCCAGTTCTCCATTTGCAGGCATTGAGCCTAAGCCTTCCTATTTCTGATGCTTAGAAACGGCTGCTTTTTTTCTATTGAATACAAGATATGGCATTTTGACTCACCTATCTAAACAATCAGACCTAGATTTACAAAGTTTTTCAGATCCTAGCATACTCAGGCACTTCAGCATTTGGCCCATTTCCCTCTTAGGAGCTCGTAGCATGCTTTAAGGATGGGACTTTTCAGGACACTTATGATTTCTGAAACTTCTGTTGGTTCAACTGGTGGGTTACAGTACTGCCAGACAGAGACCTAGTGTATGGAAACTTCACCACTGCTTTCACCATTTACATTCATTCATCATGTGACCTCTCCTGAAAGACTAGGTAAATTCACAAAATAAATCCATCCACTACTCTCCGCTCACCAACACACACTGAATTTTTAACCACTTATGGCTCTTAGTCTCCCTTCTATATTACACCCATCTTCCAAGTTTTTAATATCTCAATCACAACAGCAACTGCATGCCCTTTACAAAGATTTCCTCCCTAAGACAATTCACAAAACTTAAGAAAGTTTAAGACGCATCTTCTTTTCACAGAACTGTTGTGTTGGGCTGTCGATTACAAACACTGGTATGCATGAATATCTGAACTCCCGTTTGTTCCTCAAAATGGTGTCTGTGGCTATTCTTTTCAGTGGGACATAGGTTTAGTTTGTTTTTTAAGCACAGAACCCAGCTAAAAAACAAATTGATAGCTCTAGAAGGCATAGAACTAGTTAGGATTGATTTCCTTTGGTCTCTCTGCACGGTACAATCAGATCCTCCGATACTTAACAAAGGGAAAGTTCTGATCATAGTTCTTTATGCAGTGGAAACAATTCCTGATTTTTTTTCCCCCCTTTCATTGAGGTTTTCTGATATTTAAGACTAACTCAGCTTTTGTTACAGCCCCTTTCTCTGCAGCAACAGTTTGACCTCAATCTTTCATCAGGCTCACAAGAATGCAACTGAGTCTTTGAATCAGCTATCACCACTGAATTAGCTATCACTGCCAAGTTAGCTAAACTGGATCAATGATTTTTAAGAGTTACTTGGGTAGGGAACAAGTAGTTTCCTGAAGGAATGAAATGTGTGTAATCTGTGCCAAAGATTTTTTTTTTTAAAACATAAGTTACCAGCAGTTTAAATTACTACAAAAGGATCACAGAAGTTAACTTTTCTAATAGCTTTTATTAATTTAGGGTTTTTTGCTCTGCAGAGAGAATCACTGTAGAAAAACTTCGACTATTCTGTGTTATAATTTCTAACTAGTTTCAATAACGACAAGAAGACACTGAAAATTTTGTGGTGCAAGGTTTTTTTTTGTTTTTAAATTACTGTTTTATTGTACTTTGAAAAATCCTCAGGGATATTATTACTGATGTGGCAGCTTAACATAATTTGTTATAAAACCCCATCCTAAGAACCACATTCATCTAAGTACATTCCTTTCAATTCTCTGTTGTTTTATCATCTTGATGTAACATCTTAATTCAGAGTATAAGTGACTGGAACTCAATACAGGAGAGAAAATAGAAATGACTGATGTTTGTATATGTAAATCAAGGAATTCAGAAATGACTGTGTAGTTATGAGTATCTATCTACATAGGAGACAAACAGCCACAGTGTGCACACAGCATTACTAAACAGTCCTTAGAGGTAAAAAAGGATACTCATTCTGACCAGGATCTTTTGTGGGAAACTGCCATTAAGTCCTGCAGAACCGATCTTTCCTAGAAGGAAGGCTGGTTCTGATAAAGTGCCAGAGATGCAACTGATTGTATGAATAGCATTCAGTTTATTCCAATAGCATAGTGAGTGCATAATACACCTACTAAGCAAGATCAATGCTTCAGAACTGGTGAGTCCGTTTGCAATATCGTGCACACCACAAAATGGCACATAAGGCGCGGTCCACTCTTGAGTTCTCCCTGGGAAATGGGCAAGCGAGGTTAAAAAGGTTGCTACCAAGAATCATCCAGTCCAAAAGTTGTCATGCCAGCAAAGTTTAAAACTACAGCTTCACATGCTATTGAAATATCCCCACACTGCTACAGAAAAGACCGCTCTTGAAACATTCGTCAGCATTTCCTAATGACCATTTGAGAGGCTAATTCTTTACTCATTTTACAGATCTTTACAAGCTAACAAACAGTCCCAGTCATGTGCTGGCCTTTATCATGAAGCACATTACGTATGAAAAAGAGAAACCACAATTTACTAGTTTACCAAAATGTTTTCAATGCAAGACTGTAATTCTTCAGTTTATCAGAAAGCATGGCATTTTCCTCTCCAAGACATGACACACATGATTCAGCAGCGGTTTAAGAGAAAAATCAGCAGCAAATATATATTGTCCTAATGAAACTTCTTCTATATATGAACAGATCTTAATTCTACAGCCTAAAGAGGAAGAGGAAATGACTCCTGACCCCAAGCATTAATAGTTTAGGACATTTCTACATCACTCTAACCTGAAGCCTAAAACCACGACATAAGACCCCTATTCCATAAGTGGCTGCAGCCATTTTGACATCAAATGAAGTTACCATCCATTCTTCTCCTTTCATTATGAATGTTAAACTGCAGTGAATAAGATGACCGGTATACTGCATCTGAACTACATTTTGACCAGAAAGTGGTTAAAAACATAACATTATACCAATTACAGGTATAGACTAAGTGTGTCTCACTATAAACACGAATCAGTAACTGCTTCATGAAAACAGAGTATTTCTCTGCATATACAAACGACTTAGTAGATAATGACTAATCTGAACAAGTGTGTAAAACATCAGAAAATAAAATCTAGCAAGTTGTTTCACATTTTCAAACAAAAGCATTAGGCAATTTTTAGCCTGTTAAATACACTGCACAAAGGAATTAATACTGAAAGGGAGGAAAAAGACTTGGACATTTTCTAACATCCTCATAAATAAACAGAGACTGGAGTCCCTGACAACG